TTAGAAATGGTGCATTTAAAATGTTTACGTACTATACTGCATTTAATAACCATTTTTGTTTTTAAAAATTTTCTTGTCTTCTAGGTGCGGTTTATCACCAAAATATGGCATCCTAATATTAGCTCAGTCACTGGAGCCATTTGTTTGGATATTCTGAAAGATCAATGGTAAGATTCCATATGGATTTAAATGTGCAAAATGAAGTGTGTCAGTGTCCTGGATAGGAGGCAACAGCTCATGTTGCTTTTCACTTTGCATTTGTAATTTAGATGTCCTTAAAGCTTACAATATTTCACTGTAGTATTTTGAGTTGAAAAGATGCAAATGAAATGATTGGGTGGTAATTTTGGAAAGTACTAAGTAGATATTATATGCATGGTGAACTTTTCCAAAATTTTTACACTAGGGTTAGGGTGAATATTTCATTGTTGCTGATGTTTTAGGTGTTTTTGTAGGAGTTAATTTTTGTATTTATTTAGTTCTTTTCCACTAACAAATGCTACCTATTGCCTCCTGAATTTTGTCCTTTCAGCCTCCTGAGGTGTAAGCAGAAAAAAACCAAGTGCTTATCTTCATTCTGGTTCTTGACTTCTACTTCCAATAAAAATTAGTTCTGATAGAGGTAAAACAATGTTTGAAGTGAGTCTGGGAGTATAAAAGGTAACAGGTCAGCAACAGGAAAGGGAGAAGAGGAGACCGATTCTGTCTCACAGTTACCACTGATAATATTTGACTTGCACCTCTGTATACCATTTGCCTTTTAGTTGCTGGTCAGTTGCTGACTTTTGATTACTTAATGTTACTGAAAAAGTTTTAATAGCCAAAATCTGTGGAGTAGACCTGTACATGTCCAAACTGTAACAGCTAAACTTATTGTTCATTTGTTTTTCCAAGTGATATGTTTCATGTTGTTTGAAGATCATATGCACCAATTGTATGATAGAAATAATACCTAACATGATTGAAATTAATCTTTGTTATTTTCCTCCATGTCTGCCCCAAAAGAATAGGACTGTAATTCCCCAGCAGATAATATCAATATCTAATCCATACAAGCTTCAAATGCTTGTAAATTCAACAACTTCATCAAGCCTGCTGTTGGCCAAGCTGACATCAGTTGGGTTTGAAAGAGAAACTCAAGTGACTTGAGGTCTTGCACGTGACACATTCAGTGTATTCAACTTTTACAGAGTGAGAAAATTATGCAAATCGTGGCACAGGACAGTATAAATCACTAAAATGAAGTCATAATAATCATAAGCTGTTGTCGCTTTCATTTCTGGAACCGCATATTTTTTCTTACAGTCTCAGAGCACTTGATGTTCTTTCAGGCAGTAGAATCTTTCAACATACATGCCATGGTACATGGTTTAAATTTTCTATCAGTAAAGCCAGTGTACTTTTGTACCTGCACCTAGTTATTCTTACCACTCTACAATTATACTGGAGATTAATAACTCTTTAACTGTGCAAGTACAGTGTCCTGAGAGATTGTACTCTAAACCAGATTAGTGAACAAGCATGAGGTTGGTTTGTGTGTTGGGATTTTTTTTAATTTTGGGGTTGTTTGGGTTTTTTTGCAAAACAAATTTTGGAGTTTTTTTTAACGGGGATTGCTTCACTGATTTGAACTTAGGCACATAAACCTGCTCCCCCAGCTAGGCTTATTTCACTCAGGACAAGCTTTAAGTAGTGAGAATATGGGAAGGCAAAAATTCTTTGTTTCTAGTAGCAAAGGTGCTTAACATTGGAACTGCATCCCAGTATCATTGATACTCTCCTGGGAAGAATTTATCCAAAGTTTTTAAGTGCAGGGTTTGTTTTTTTTCTTCCATTTTTTGGTACTCATTTATGCGCTGTCTAGTTGCTTTACTCATAGTATCAAGGTCTGTGACTTTCAACAAGTATCTTCAAGACTTATCTTTCCATACTGAAGCCCCTAAACATCACGTTTCTCAAACTACACTTATCTAGCATTTTCCCTTAGAAACTTTGAGGAAAGACAGTCCCTAGCAGAAGTCACACTTATTTATCATATTCTGAATTAAACCCAAAGTAATTTAACAGCTTTTTTTAACATTTTCCTGTTATCTTCATATTACTTTAATATATTCCCTAATTACTGTTTTCTGTGGAGAAGGATGGATGATCTTGCTTCTGTAGCAATGGACTGGTATTCAGGAAACTACATTTTGGTTTCCAGCTGTGGAAGAGGTTGTCTGTTGTCCTTCAGCATTGCCAAACATTGTGACTTGAAACAGTCTCACAAAATTCAGTCTTACCCCAAAACTGCTGCTTTAAGAGTGAAGCAGTTAATAGCTTTAAGATGAAAGTTTCTGGCCTTTTCAGTGGCTGATCAAGCTAAAAAATATAAAATACCAAAAGGCACCAAAGACCTAAAGAAATCATGAGCTTCAACTTTTTTGTTTTGTTTTGTTTTTAGTCAAAACAAAGGAAAGAAAGAATGGAGAGATTTGACTTGTGTTCTTGTAATCTTTGAAAGTTAGCTTTTGTACAAATAACTTAATCTGTGTCTTAGTTCTGCCTGATGGAAAAAAAAGATTAATACCTTCCTTCACCAAGATGTATACAAAATAGAGGAGTATTGGAACAAGAACTTGCCTTCTGTGTATTTAAACTGGCTGGCACAGGGAGCACCAATATTATGCCGCTTACATACTGTTAAACTCTTCCTTTGAAACACTGTCTTCATTTGGAAGCACTTAAGGAAATAATTTCACAGAACTTGGTGGGGAGGCTTCCTAGATACTATAATCCCTTTTCAAATGATTCTTAATGTAGTGATTCCTTCATTTTCTAGTGCTGCATTTTGTAAGTTTTTTTTGGTTTTTTTAATCATAGAATGGTAAATGAAAATTACTTGAGCATTATTGAAGTGCTTGTCAAAGCCTCTGGTCCTTTGGAGAAGAGGAAACTGTTATGGCTACCTCCATCCTTTCTTGTTTGAAGGATTTCAGTATTGTGATAGATAAGACTTTTTTTTTTCCTTGAGTAGCTTCCTAAAACTTCCTAAGCCATATGAATGGTTAATATTGTTTAAAAAAGTTGTTTATCATTCTTCAGTATATGCCGGTTTTTTATATATTTAAACTGAGAAATGCCCACATCACCATGTTTTTGTTTTCTGCATGTGTAGGTTGAACAATGGTTTGAATAAAATAATAGTTTCATTAGAAAGCAAACAAACAAAAAACCCCAAGCAACACCACCTGAACCTTGATAATTTAATATTTAATGGATTTCACCAGGTATTCAAAGGTTAAATGGGACAAATGCAATTCTGAAATATTCTACTGGCTGTGTTCTAGAAAATATATTTAGTTTCACAGTCTCTCTTGTCAAATCTTTTAGTAGCAAGCTCTGTTTTTGAAGTGCCACTTCATTGACTTGTAATGCTCTTAACTGAATAATGCTGCTCTTGTTGCTCTGTTTAAATGTAAGTCTTATTCCAATGCATATATGTGTTTTTCAGTGAGGTCAGTGGGAGTTGAAGGACAGAATTTGGGCCTATGGGACTTAGTAGGGTTTCTTAAAGAGTTAATAAGCTGATAAAATACTAATTTATATATAGTGAATACAAATACAAAAATTTTAATGTGTTTGTATAGTTTTCAAAAAAAGGTCTTTTCCCTACTCACCCGTCCCATGATTTTCTATTCTAATAAGCGTAGTTGAGATACTGTTCTGCACATTGGCAGGAGGTTTTATCAGTTTGCAAAGTAATGCCTTTAAATCATTTTTTAATGAGTTTAATGAAATTCTTTCTCTACAGTATATGCTTGATGCTGAAATTCTTTGCAGCTGTGGATTTTCATCATGTTTAGATTTGTAAATACCTGTTATGCCAGTTTGTTTGCAAAACAGCTACTGTTTGCTGGTAGAATTAAAATAGGGATAAGATTTTGTAGAAGGAATACTGTTTATGATGATCTGATATGGCTTTTGTTATGTGGTTTCACTTACTGTAGCCTATATTTATCTTCCAGGCTAATATTCTGTCTCAAAATCTTATTCTTAAATATTAAATGTATCTAATACTGTTTATTGAAACCTGAGAACTAAATTACTTGAAAGCTGTTCTGCATAAATCCCTTGAGCAGTGATTATCAAGTGAATGTGTTGTGGCTGTGTGTATGGCTACAAAAAACTCTTGGCTGTTGTGGTTTTGACAGTCGAAATAAAAATGAATAATGAGAATATTTTTTTCATAGTGGCTGTACTGGAGGATTCACATTTCAGTTTTAGTTGAGATGCAGAAATCATTATTATAAGAGATAATACAATTTTAATAGGTACATAAGCAACGACCAGCTCGTAGTAATCATCTTCTTGGGCATCTAAAACTGCTGGGTTTTGTTCAGGGTGTTTGAGGAGCACTGAGCCTCTTTAAAGCTTTGAGAAAAATGCAGAGAATATTAACATTGTTTGAGGGAACTCTTCAGCAAGCAGGCTGTCTTTCTCCCCCTGCACTATGTCAAAGCTATTCTATTATTCTCTTTTTTTCCTTTCCCTAATGGGTGCCCAGTCTTGTATTTCTCCTGTAAATAGTGACTATACAACAGGCTTCCACTCAAAGGCCTTATTCATTTCCTCTCTCCTTCCAGATTCCATAAGCCCTTGGTACAAGTTCCCAGAGCTTTTCTCTTGGTTTAACAAGCTTAGTTATTTCATAAATGGAATAAATATTGCAGATTATTTAAAAAAATAAAAATTTTAAAAAATTGCTCCCAGTAGTCATGTTTGGTTGACAAAGTGGAGCAGCAATCTGCTGGCTGCAGCTGTTCCCATTGTTCTGCTGGGTTACCTCTCAGAGTAACTAGAGAGATTGTTTCCAGAGAGGAATGTACGGAACATAAGTAAAAACTTCCTAAATGGAAAATTACTTAGCCTGTAAAAATGAAGAAGAAAAAGAAAAAGTGGCAGCATTTCATAATCCTCTTAGGACTCTTTCAGCTCATTGAAAGGTAAGAGATTTCTTACCTCAGGCATGCTGGGCAGAGCTGGCTTGCCATGCTTTTTAATATTATCACTATATTCACCCAAACTAGGGGTGCTCTTTTTTTAATGGAAATGCACCAAGATACTACCTTTAAAAAAAAAAAGTGAAAGTAAATAAAATATGTATCAGCTTGCTTTGTTCTGATTCACTCCAGGTTTCCCGTGCTGTTTAACAAATGCAATGCCAATAGAAAGCCTGGTTTTTGTTTAGGACGTGTCCAGAGTGGAGGCTTTTAGTTCGATGTTCTCAGTGGGACAGTGCTTCCCTGCAGTGAGCTCTCTGCAGCTCACTGGTACATGTTACTGGCCTTTCCTCCCATTTTGTAGATGTCAAACTTGCAAGCCTGCATAGTGGCTAAGCAGCATTTTGGGATGGGGGTTGGAGTCGAGGGTAAACTTTAGGAGAAAACAGGAGCCAGTAATGTTATGGGACAAAGGCAATGTAATGTCATGTGCAAGGCGAATAAGATGCTGGGATGTAGGAAGTTTTACCTGCAAAACTCATGATATAAACTGCCTGCTTTGTATTTATGATTGGTTAGGCTTCTGTTGGAGTAGTGTACCCACTTTGAGCATTGTATTCCAAGAAAGATGGGAACCATAGGAAAAATCCAGAGTAAAGTAACAAGCATGATGGTCTAAGCAAATGTGACCTACACTAAAGGATTGGAAAGCCATTTTAGCATGCAGAATATCAAGCATGGTGAAGCATTGAAATAGATTTTTCCAAGAAACTTGTGAGGCTCCAGTTAAGAACAGATTAGACAGACGTCTGTCAAGAGTGATACAAAACCTTGCCTTTGGCAAGGAGGAGAGAAAAAACCTAAAACCCAAGCATGCAGCTGGCTTGAGTTACCAAAGGGAATTGCTTGAACTTAGTGAGATGTTGCGCATAAATCCACACTTAGAAATAAACTTCAAATATAAGAAAAGTTGGAAATCTTTTGGTTTTTTTTTTCCCAGGATTCTATTCTGGAAAAATAAACCCTTGAGGAGCACTGGAAAATGCATGCATCTTTCCACTGGAAGCTCGTTTTAAGGAAGACACAACTTTTTTTGCAGCACATTCTTCTGTAGCTTGTGGGGATGTCATGTGGGGGGGTGTGTGTTGGTTTTTTTTTTAGTTTTGTGCCACTGTCAGCATAGATTTTCCTCCAGAACTGATGATGAGAATTGTTTTTGCCCTTTGCTCATAAGGAGCAGATCCTGCCTTACTAGCGTCTGTAAATATAGTTCTGGGCAGCCATCTCCATTCACTTTATTTTCCCAAAAGAAGGTAATGGGAAGGAAGAAGAGCTTTTTAAGGTACTTGGGAAGTGAGGATCTATTTTTAGCTGTCCCTCCAGTTTCTTCTGGGAATCTTCATTTATGTCTGAAAAATTAGGACTAAGCTATGTAGAAAATAACGAGACTTTTTTACTTTCTTTGATCAGGAGAACTAATTGGTGTCCTAAAGGTAGAAAATGTTACATGGGTATACAATCGTTAGACAAAATACGTCAGATTTTCTTTACCATTAGTCATAAACTTTAATTTTCTTTTTTTAATACAAACAGCCGCTGAAGCTGTAACAGGGTTTTTTTTATGATTTAAGGATACTTCTTTAAACGTTTGTGTCCAATGAAGACTTTGTCTTATTATGCATGAGATGTGAAAGTAATTTTGAGACATGAGACTTGAAAATAAGTTGTAAACTACATTTTTAAACCTTTTTACATATGTAGCTAAACTAGTCTTGTCTATAAACTTATTATTTTAGAGTTTGAGTTCTCTGAACATATAGCCATCTGTATATCCAAATGGATGAGGTATTTATTTTTATTACTCATTTTGAAATTGGAATGTCAGAACAGAAGTTCAAGTCCCAGTATGCTTTATATAAAAATCTACAAACATAACAGATGAACAGGGACTGAAGGGGCCTAGCAGTCCTGAAAGCCGGAGATGGCTGGAGCCAGCACAGGACTTGTGTTCTAGGCGTCCATGGCACCCTTGGTCCTTTGTGATGCCCCCTGCTCCCCAAGGTATATTTCCCACTCCTAGAAGGTACAGTGTAAATGAAAGTAAATTGCATGTAAAAGTGGCACAAGTAGCCGTGATCCCTTTCATGTCATCTTCTCTGCTTTAAATAATGGCAGTATTTTCAGATGTCTCTAAAGTAGAAGGATTTCTGTAAAGGAAAGTGTAGAACAGCTTTTATTTGGTAGAAGTAACTACAGTATCCGTTACAGTTGATAGATATTTCATGTTAAGTCTATCTTTAAAACTATGCTAAATAGCATAATAAAATTACTTAACTGGGGAAAAAACCTTCAGGTTTTATAGTGTGTGTGGTGGCTGTGGTAGTTCCTGAAATTCACTGCATAAAAATAAAAATGGTTAAATCCATTTGAGCATAGTAAGGTCTGAAAGACTTTGTGACACCTGAATGCTGGAATAGTAAACATGTTGCATTACACTCATTTAATACTAGCAGATACCACTGTGAATTATGTCATCAATGCATACATTAAATAGATTAGTTTCAAGACAGTATAAACCAGTAGAGAACACAAAGAACAGGAAATTATAACAGTAAAATAGCATAGGTGCATGTAAAGCAAAAATATTTCTATGTTCTTTCACTGATGTTTTTTTGTGTTTGATTTAGGTGTGGAAAAACAAGGTGCTTTGTACCTCTTGAGCTTACTATGTTAGCTAGGCTCTCATCACACAACTGAGGATGTGTTTCAGTAACTAGGTGTTCTTTATCTGATTAAATATAATCTTACTAGTTAATCCCCAGCTTTGTTTGTAATTTAAAGAAACACTCTTTGGCTTGGAAGAAGCATTCAGCTTGAAACCTGAAATACTTACATTTAAAGTGGAAGATAATCTGAAATTCTGAAAAAAAAATGTTTAGTTACTAAGGAGTAGGCTTGGAAAAGGAGAATTATATGTTGTGAAGGCTTTGTGATTTGTCAGAATTCAGATCTAAAAGCATGAGGGTTTTTTGAAGATTTAAGTCTGCAAAGTTCAGCTTCAAGCTGATGTGGCAGTTGGAATGAGACAATATGTGCTAATTAAAATCTCTGTCACTTGGGATGTTTCTCACTTGCGTTTTCATGTAGAACACTGCACTGTGAAAGCTCAGTGATGATTATCAAGCTAAAAAAAAAAAAGTAAGTTTCTAGGAAAAATCTTCTAGAATTAGAAACAATTAGGGAAGAATGCCATATTTGAATGCTTAGTGACATAGCAGGAAAGCTGTAAATGTAAGCAATCTAGGACTATAATATTCGGGCGTCACAATGTGCCTCTGACATTTTACCAGCATCTATTCTCTGCTCATCTGTATACTCTGCTGGAGTATCTCAGTACAGTGCCTCAGTACTGGAAAGCACATAAATTTCTGAAATCTGAGACTGGAAATAGACTTCTGAACTGTTTCTTTTGTATCTGGACCATCAGGTCAAACTCTTCCCTACCCACTCTGATGGACTTTTTGCATTTACTTTCAGCCTTCTGAAAAGAAGAAACTATTTTCTGTTGATTGAAAATTGAACAGTTTGTCTGTAAGAAATTGAATGCCTGTGTTTCACAACTTTCTTCTAGCATTTCACGTGCCATAACCATTTTGCTCAAATCTAAGATGTCACATTTTCCCCACTTACCTTTCTACTAGTGCTTCAGCAGAGTAAGCAGTTTTGTGTATTGGCTTGAACATCTGTCTATGCCTTCACCACAACAGTTAAGAGTCAACTCGTCAACTCCAGCTGAAATACTGAACTGTCACAGATTCTGTGGGGTCCTTATTTGGTTTCCACTGTGTGCCAGCTGAAATGGTAGATCAGAGATGGCATTCATGATCAAAATCTAATTAAACTGTGTATTTAAAATGTTAAAACTTTCCAGATTTACAGTGTGTAACAATTTCATACTTTTACTTTTCTGAGTCTTCATTGACTTTTCTGAACATGCTTGGGTTTCCCTTACTAATTATTGAAGTTTCTTATTCTAAATATACTTTGAGATCAAGATAAATGATGAGAACTGAGAACCTTAGAAGTTCTGACTCCAGAACTATGCTACCTTCAACAGGGTTCTTTCACAGGGGCAAAAGAGTGATTTCACAGCACCATCATGACTACAGAATGTTTTCCTGCTTCCGACAGCCATGTCAAGTTGAAATGAGAGGAAGCTGAGATAGTATTTTCAATTGCACATTCTGTAATAGGCAGACCTTTTTATTATTATAGTAGTAATTCACTGTGTAAATTCTTAAATTTTATTGAAAAATGTCATATTAAAACTGATGCAATGAAAAATATATCTAATGTATAAAATTCCTTGTCTCTAACAAGTATTTAAAATACAGGTCACTACTTCTGTATATGCTATTTTGCTATGAAGAGTGCCAGCAGAGGGAGCACACATGGGCTACCAGTTCAGTACCTAGACCTTATGCAAGGTGCTGTTACTGGTAGTAAGGAAGGATGACATAAACTTCAAATTGGCTTTTTTTTTGCTTTTTTTTTTTGCCCTGATGAAATTAATTCCGTTAAGTGGGCATGGTTAAATGTGTAGGTCAAGGACTGTGTTTTCCAAAAGCTTAAGAAAGCATTGCTAACAAGAAAGTTCACATTTAAAACCCTATTTAAATATATATATTGAATGATATTCTAATACCTATAAGCTGCAGCAGTTTAAAATTATGATTTTTAGACTTACAGTCTGCACATGTACTCTTATATCTTCTGTGATACTAGTACAGCAGCAAAGGTGAGTACAGGCATGGGATTTGGTAAAGTCATTTTCAAATTTTTAATTTTAGGGCAGCAGCAATGACTCTAAGAACAGTGTTGTTATCGCTGCAAGCATTGTTGGCAGCTGCAGAACCAGATGATCCACAAGATGCAGTAGTGGCAAACCAGGTAAGATACTCAGTTGACTGAATTTGTAACACTTCTGTAACCTTTGCTAACTCATACTAGATCCCAAACCTTGGTGGAGATAAAGATTTTAAAGAATTTATTGGAAAATTGCCTTACAGTAAGCCTGAGTTACTGTGGTGTTTTGTGCTCTTTACTCGTTGAATTCTAGAGTAAGTAGCAGTTATTTTACAATGTCAGGAGGTTTATTTTGTTAGTTTTGTTCCTTATTTCCTTGTCAGAAATGTCAGGAGATAACAGCATAGTAAAATGAATTCCAGTATAACTTGCCATTTAAAATCTAAGGCTTCTAGTATAAGAAAAGCAATGTAGTATTTGTTTAAAATTAGTTTTAACTTGATGGTGTTCATTGGATTTGACTTGGTATGTAGTTCCTCTTCCAGATTAATATGAATATTGTTGAGCATTGTATTTGTTTAGTGTAAAAATTTTATGAATACTGACTTTAGATGAATTACTATTGCATTTAATTCTGAGGAGCAATTTATCTGAATGAAGCATCCCATGTATTTTACCTTTGCAAGTACTTGCTATTGCAAGGATAACTATTTTAGTCACTAGTTGAGTTGGTATTGTTTGAATTCTGTAATCAAGAGTGTTTGTTACTTTTCAGACAGTAGCAATAACTTATAAAAAGTAATAATAATAAAATGTGAATTGGATCTTATGCCATACCAGGACTGACATGGTTCTATTTAAAGTGTTGATGAAAGATAGGAACAGTCGTTCCATAACTTAATAGTCTGACAGTTTTCAACAAAGTCCCAAGTAGTATGTGTGTCATGTTTTCCTTTTTACTCTCGGGGGGTGGGGAGAGGGGAGAGAGAGAGAAGGCCTGGCTTCCCCAGTGACTGATAGTAAGGGTATACGACAAACAAAAGAACAAAGCAAGTAGAAGGTTCTTCCAGCATCAGTCTAATCTATATCTCCTGGAAGTCAGGATCCTCCAGGATAGGGTGACAAAGTGAACCCTCCTTCCCTCTAAAAATCTGTGTAGGATGATAGATTAGCCATTGATCAAACCTGTCAGGATTTGGAGAGAAACATGGAGATCAGAGGTAGTCCGTCGCACCACTGGGTGAGGGAGAGCTGTTAGCTACTACTATGCTCAGGAGGCTTGCTTGTGGGATTCTGCAATGCTCTAAGTCTGCTCTGAACAAATGTCCTGGAACAGTTCTGTCAAACTCCATTGTTCTGTGCAGGGGGAATTGTTGCAAAGGCCAGCAAGGCCACCAGGCATGTCCCTGCACCGTTTTTTCTTGCCAGATGCATGCCCTTGCTGTCACAATCTCTCTTTATTAAACAAACCCACTTTTTTCCTTTTTACAAAGAACAAGAATAGCGTTTCCCGTTCTGTCCCCGATGGTAGAATTTTGTATGGGAATCATAACAGTCCTGCAGAAACACTTGACCTGGAAAGAGTTTTTTCTCAGGCAAAAAACTCTATGGAACTTCCTAGATTCTGAAGAGCAATTTTCCAGGCTGCCTCTCAGGTGCTGGTGGGGATGTGTCCGGTGGGACTGTGGCATGGCTGATGTGGGGAGGATTCCGTTTCTCCTGTTCCCTGCAAATACCTGCATGAAAACTATACTGGGGTTTGGCCTTGAGTTATGAGCACGTGTATGTAAGTAGAAAGTGATTATAACGTCTTTGAGAGATGGGGTGGTAAACACCCAGTTCCTTCATGTGTTTCATTTGGCAGTGGGGTCTTTTCTTGGATTTTTTTTTTTTCCACAAAACCAAAAATTCACAAGGAATTAGTTATCCTCCACAATCATTTGCCATTATGTTAGTTTACTAAACTATGTGTTAGACTGCTAAGCTCTTCAGGCAAGTGGCAGTGTCCTACAAGCTCTTGAGCTGAATCCCAGGGAGAACACAGGGAGAACTCCTGTTTGAATAATGGCAGTATTTTTGGACACCAGCTGTCTGGTGTCAAAACTACTTCAACTAGTTGCTGTTTTTTTAAGTGCAGCCAACATTAACTGCCTCGGATTCCTGATATAGAGACATCAGTAAAAGGTGCCTTCAGGCTTTTCTTAATTCAGTGAGAAGCTAGATTATTTATGGATACCTAAGTAAAGGAATTTTATCTATAGAACACTGAAAGCTAGTTCTGAGTAAAATGCAGTTACGCAGTTATGACTAATCCTTTGCACTTCAGCTAGTTGCTTTCTAGGCTTGGCAGTATTGTCAAAAATATTAAAAAAAAATGGGGGGAAGATATCTTAAGAGCAGAAGAATACAGTACTTCAGAATGGTACTGATGCTTAATCCTTCCTTGTTTCTAGTGATAACAACCAAAGAAACTTATTGCAGAACACTGTATTTATAACACAGTGAGTTATTTCCAACAATAGATTGTCTCTCATGTTTGTTTTAATGCCATTAATAATCAGATAGTAAATATACAAATTACTTCATGTGGAGCAGAATTAGTGGGAGGTGTACAAAGCACACAATGCAATGCAGTTGGTGTGTGTTGCTGTAGGAGAGGTAAAATGAAATGTACAGCAGTAAAAAGTGTTGTATTCACTTTGACAGTGCTTTATAGATTTAGTGATTGTTTTAATGTATGAATAAAATGCTTAGAATGATAATCGGCCATGTTTCTGTCCTTAAAATGCATCTAAATATTTGAATAATGTATCTCCCAATATCTTGTCATCTTATTTAGTGCTAAAATTTACTATATATCTAAAGATGAGAAGAGCTGCTTTTTTTTTAAGTGTAAAGATTAAGGGAAAG